CACCTCACCACCACCAACAAGTATGTCTTTTTTACTAACTTTTGTTTGTCAATTCAAAAACATTAATCGAGCATCGATTCTTGATAAATATGCGTGGATCAATATTATTCTATGTTTACTTCTTGTTGGGTTGTAATGTTTTAGCCGATTTTGGAAAAAAGATTGAGATTGAAATTGGTTTTTTTGTTTGTGTGTTTTCGTTGGTATCCCAAATCGGTTTACCCAGACCGATTTTGTACACGAAAATAATAGCTAGCTAGCTGAGCCATCTCTTTATAGCTAGCTACAAAGCAATGATCATTTTATTAAGATGGTGTTTGGCTAAGTTTATAAGATGTTAAAAGGAGCTCATAAGATGTTTTAGAGCTTATAAGCTCTTCCAAAGTGTTTGGTAATTTTTTAGAAAAAGATCTAATTTTTTTTTAAAATAAGCTGTTGGAGAGCAAATAAGATCTTTTTAAATAAGTACCTCTACCCCACCTTTTTATTTAAGATCTTTTAATGAGTAAAAATAGGAAATAAGTCCATTATCCAAACACTCTAAAAATTAATCCTACAAATAAGATGTAACAACTTATAAGCTCTTAAAACATCTAATCAGACGTAAGAGTTTATCAGCTGTTTAAAATAAGCTTAACCAAACATCATCTAAGTATTCATTTGTAGTTGGCAATTATGAATATGAAAAACTTGCTACATGCTTAGTAAATAGTTCAAATCATACAAATTTGATATAAATTACTATTATTATCTTTTGTTTATCTTGAAATGAATTAAAATATAAGGAGATTTTATGCTATTTTTAGAATATAAGGGGGGATTTTAATATTTGCCAAAGTGTAGGGGTTTTGATATATTTCACCAAAAAAAAAAAAAAAAAAGAAAGGGAGTGCTGACAAGGCAATAATGCAAAAAACTTAGTTAAAATCCCGAAGAAAAGAAAAGGAATCAACGGTCAAGATCTGCTCCACCCTTTCTGGCTCTCTCAGTTTATCTTCCCAAGAATATAATCATCTCCCAAGTCTCACTCCTTCCCCCGACCTACAAACAGAAACCTCTCTCTTTCCCGATCTATA